AAACCCCCCCCCCCCCCCCAAAAAAAAAAAAAAAAAAAAAAAAAAGTAAGGTCCAACAGCCACCGCCCCACTTATACTGCCATTACTGTACTAGTAGACTTCAGTGCGAGCGTGTTTGTCGTGTTCTGGATTTGTAATTAGTTTTTTTTTTCTAATTTCAGAGATCTGACTTTTCACGCTTCCATTGACTTGTGTTTTTCTTACTTTACTTTAATGTTTGTTTTGATATCGTTACAAAATTTAAGTTAAAAGGTCATAGAAATCAATATTAGTGGGAGATTAAGTGATGTTACTACAGACGGATCTCTTATTTTAATGTCAAGTTAAATAATGAACGGACCAAAAAGTTAAAGGTGATGATGAGTTACAGAAAAACTGTGTGTTGACTGCTTCTATAAGCCCTGTCTCGTTGTTCTTGTTTGTGATTGATTTGATGTTTTTTGTTCTGTTGACTAAAGCTGGAGTGGTTTTGAGTTTTGATAAGGACCTGTTTGTAATTGTTATCATTGTTACCGCCATTATGGATCAAATTCTGAGCAGAATAATGGAGAATGAACTTTGTTTGCTGAGAAAGCTTGAATCTCATGATTAATGGAAGTCGTGCGAGTAATTAAGAAGGTGTTACTGGGGGAAACATTTATTATTTGGATAATTTGATTTTCTTTCTTTTGTGGTTCCCTTCGGTCTGAGTGCTTTTATGATACATGTACCAGAAAGCAGAGTAGAGTGGGTTGATTAGGAGATATTTGGCCCACCAAGCTAATTTCCAACACCTACTGCTCTTCTTTTTCTTCCTTTCCTCTAATGGAACTTTTTAATTCACTGCTTTGTTCCCTTTTCTTTTTTCATCAAAACTTTCAAAATACTCATTTTCTTTTATTTAAACCACAATTATATTACTTGAAATATTACCGAATCTGAAATCGTCGGGCAAACAAACAAAATCATAAAAAGAGGTTTAAAACGAATTAAACAGCTAATTTTGCACCCAAAGTATATATATATTTAATTTCGTCTTCTTTTTAGGTTGGAATATTCTTATCACCTTACATTGGAATTGTGCAATTCAGGAACGGAATTCAACAGAGAAGAAACTCATACGAAGACGGTGTTTATGGAACAACGTGCCCAATCCCTCCAGGGAAGAACTTCACGTACATTCTGCAAGTAAAGGATCAGATCGGCAGCTTTTACTATTTCCCCTCTTTGGCCTTCCACAAGGCCGCCGGCGGTTTCGGCGGCATCAGAATCCTCAGCCGCCCCCGGATCCCGGTCCCCTTCCCCGATCCCGACGGCGACTACACTGTCCTCATCGGCGACTGGTACAAGTCCAATCACACGGTATGTTGAATCTGCGAGCGTTTTTTTACTTCTTTTTTTTAAAGAATAAATAATAAAAAATTTTGAAGAAAGGAAATGTTGGAAACCGGGGAGTGGGCGGTGACTGCGGATCGCATTATCGCAATGTTTTTCCGTCGGTAGCTGGTGGGGTCCACTCCGTGACTTGAATTATTGGTGACCGAATCAATTGTTCGCTTTTTTGTTCGGTGGGGTTTAATGACTTGGGAATGGTCGCGTACCGAAAATTTTAAAAATAATTATGGCTCGATTTCCCTTGTTTTATTGAATTTAAGATGCACAATTTTAATTTTTAAATTCTGCTTGAAGAATTAATTAAGTGGCCAACAATTTTATAGAAAAATAAATTATTTAATTGTAATTAAAAGTGAAATTCTATTTATTTTTCATATCTTACCAATACATAGCATAGTGTTCGAAACTGCATTTTATATTAGTATTACCTTTAAATTTAAATTTTATTTGAATTATGTTTTCTTTTTTGATAAACTTGAAAATGTTTATAATTTTAGGGTAATTATATAAATTTGGATGCTCAATGAATTTGAGCTTTTATCAAATTGTTAATGATAAATTTACTCGTTATAAATAAAAGGTTTTTGTAATACAATATTTGAAGATTGACCGACTAGAATAGAACCTTAAAAAGTTTGATGAAATCAAATCGAAGTTTACAATAGAATCCTAAAAGCTCAAGTATTTGGTATCCGTAGTAGAATGTTATTTATTTATATATATTTTAAATATCATTTTCCCTTTGCCTTCTATTTTCTTATCTGGGCCTTCAAAATTTGGGCATGGTGAATAGACCCTGAAGGCTCATCTGGATCGTGGTAAGAAGCTTCCATTTCCGAATGGAATCCTCATCAATGGCCGTGGCAATGATACCTCTTTTAGCGTTGAACAAGGTACATTGCTTGTCTGATTTAATTATTCATTCAAAGGAAAATGACTGTATAATGGAAACGAGATTATGATTTATGTCAATGCTGTTGCAGGAAAAACATACAGGCTGAGAATTTCAAATGTGGGGCTGGAGCATTCCCTCAACTTCCGAATTCAAGGTCATAAAATGAAGCTTGTAGAGGTGGAGGGAACACATACCCTTCAAACGACCTACTCGTCGCTCGATGTTCATGTTGGTCAGTCTTACTCTGTGCTCGTCACGGCTGATCAGCCAGCTCAGGACTATTACATTGTCGTCTCCACTCGCTTCACTTATCGGGTACTCTCCACCACTGGCATTCTTCATTACAGTAACTCTGCTGGCCCTGTCAAAGGCCCCCCTCCCGGTGGTCCAACAATACAGATCGACTGGTCCCTCAACCAAGCCCGGTCTATTAGGTTAGATACTTTCTATTCACCATCAGGTTGAGATACTTTCTATTCACCATCAGGTTGAGATACTTTCTATTCACCATCCTTTCAGCTTGAGTCAAGTAGTAATAGGCTATAGGTAAACAACTTGGAAGCGTTAGCTTTTGGATTTAAGCTTTGTGAACCAAATTAATGTCTAGAATCCATATGTAGGAAGAAATTTTGATGTAGTCTAACATATTAACTTATATTGGCCTTTTTTTCATTATATTCCACTGAATCGTTCCAAAGGGATAGTGTTTAGTTTTCCAACTACTGGTATAGCCTTGATTATGACTTTTTTTTTTTTGCAGAACCAATCTTACAGCCAGTGGACCAAGGCCAAACCCACAAGGATCTTATCACTATGGTCTCATAAACACAACCAAAACCATCATACTTGCAAGTTCTGCTGGTCAAGTCAACCGCAAACAAAGGTATGCAGTTAACAGCGTATCCTTCATCCCTGCTGACACTCCCCTGAAACTTGCGGACTTCTTCAAAATTGGTGGGGTTTTTCGTGTCGGAAGCATCTCCGATAGGCCCACCGGTGGAGGAATCTACCTCGACACATCCGTGATGGGTGCAGACTATAGAGCATTTGTAGAAATTGTGTTTCAAAACAATGAGAACATTGTCCAAAGTTGGCATATTGATGGCTACTCTTTCTTTGTGGTCGGGTAAGCTTGCATTCTAAGGATGGCTGACTCTGGTGTTTTTTACTACATGATTGTCAGTCTATGGTTCAAAACTCAATTTCTGTAAGTGTTCAATTTTCAGCATGGATGGAGGCCAATGGACACAGTCTAGCAGAAATCAATACAATCTCCGAGATGCAATCGCTCGTTGCACAATTCAGGTGAGCATCGAGTATCAATTTCCTTCTGGCTTTCTTCCCCACAAATCCTCTGTTTAAATGGGCTGATGGTGGTGTTTGGTGCAGGTCTACCCTTTTTCGTGGACTGCAATTTACGTGGCCCTCGATAATGTAGGAATGTGGAACGTGAGGTCGGAGTTTTGGGCAAGACAGTATCTCGGACAACAATTCTACCTCCGCGTCTATACGCCATCGACTTCACTCAGGGATGAGTTTCCCATTCCAAAGAATGCTCTTCTGTGTGGCAGGGCAAGCGGTAGACACACTAGACCGCTCTAAATCAGTAGCCGTTCCAAATACTTAGACACCCCACAAGGTAGTTAAAGTCTATCTTAGCTTTAATATATGATGAAAAAAAGCAAGGTCTCTTTGCTTTCATATTGTTGTAGACAGGAATATCTACAGTTAGACTATCTATAGTTAGACTGCCTGGTCCTCCAGTCGACCCCAGCTCGGGGTCAGGTCACATTCTTTCTCTAGATATCATTCCATTGCCTTGCCCATTTGGTCATCTTCTCTCTATGATATTGTTACCTGTCAATGTTATTTAATATCAGATTGTTTCGCTTTGAGGTGTGGATAAAATCTACCATTCCAAAATAACATGTATTTCGCATAATTTTCTTGTTTTGTTTACCTTGTCACTCTTTGGAAGGGAGTATGTGTCTAGCAATGACGTGAGATCGGCCTACATGGTTACCTTTTTCTATGTATTCCATTTTGTCGACATTTTAAAGCTTACTCGTTTGTTCGGGCTTGACAACTAATGGTACATGAAATTAGTTTGTGTTTATTTGATCATAAACTTTCCAAATCTGTCATTTAAAAAAAATACTCAAAATTTCAACTACTAAAGTTGGGAATTTGTAATCAAATTTTTTTTGCATATATTTTTTAACTATTTAATTCTACTGTGGATCCAAAATTTTACATATTAGAGGTTTGTGTCGATATATAGTAAAGAACCTATGTTAACCGACTTAACCAACTTTTGAAGTGATTCGATTAAGTCTTCTCACTGAAGATTAAATCGAAAATATTTACCTAATGAAATGGAGGTTTACGTAGTGAAGTTTATTAAATTAAAGTATAAAGACAAAAATAGAACTTCATTACGCAATGAAATGGTTAAGGCAATACGACGACGTTTTACAATGTCTCAGGAGGAAACACGATTTTCACCGTCCACGGGTACGGAATCGAAGTGATCCAACGATCAAGAATGCGGAACAGGAGGCGTGGGTACCAAACGTGCCAAGTACAAACTATATATAAGCTTCCCTTCCCTTGCCGCTATTGAACTGAAAAGTTCACGAAACTAACAAGTCGGCGAACAAGTCTCTGCAGAGGATTGCTTTCTGGAGTTCTTCTATGGCCAACGAACAGGAAGAAGTGGCTGCTGATCTTGAGGCGACAGTACTTTCTTCCGCTGCTCAACAAGCCATTTTTCCGAATGATGAACTGCACGTTCTTAACGATGCCGTCCCGCAGATGCCTTCTTACGTGACGAAAGACCTGTTGTCGATTGGAGTACGTTTTCTTGTCTTTGAACCTTTCACTCGAACATAGGATTTCGTAGTCTATACAGCCGTCGTTAGGAATGCGATCAATTACTCTCACTTCTTATCTTGATAGTTTGCAGTTTCGAGCAAATTCTAGTGGTGTTTGAATGTCCTTGTTTATTTGGTCGCTATCCTTAATTTTTTTCCATTCATTTCCTCCTAAGATCTCGTAGTTAAGAACAACCGTCGTTAGGAATGCGATCGATGAAACTATCACTTCATAACTTGATAGTTGCAGTCTGGAGGAAGTTTCCGGTTGTGTTTCTATGTTCAATCGCTATTCTTAGTTTGTCCTCGCAACCTAAAATTCCTAGTTAATTAGGAATGCGACGGATATAACTTTCGCTTCATTACTTGACGGTTCGCATTTTGGAGGAAATTCCGTTATGTCTGAATGTGCTTTTTCATTCGATCGCTAACCTCAATATTTTCCTCACTTGAACCTAGGTTTCATAGCGAAATAACTATTGATAGGAAGGCGATTGATATAACGACCATCACATTTACCTTATATCTCGATGGCCAGTAGTTTGGAGAATATTTCTTTTGTGTTTGAATGTGCTCCTTTATTCGATCGCTATTCTTGATTTTTTACCTCACCGAGTTAGGGTTGGATATTATCGTGGCACCTTTAACATGATAAGTTGTCATTCTTTCCAAATTTCAGACTTATGTGTTCTGTTTTTTTGTTTTTTTATTTATACTTTAAATGCGTGCAAGTTGGTTTTCTATCTTTCATGACATTTCATTTTATGTATGTTTTTGCTTGCGATTCAGCAATATCAGCTTTACAAGCCCTGTTAAATTCTTAAAAGTAATGACGTCTGTTTATTACCAGCATGATGCTGCGGATAATGATTTTGTAATAGTAATAAAAAATCAGAAGAAGATGATGAAAGGAGCAGCATTTTTTATTGGTGCCTAATAATGGCCTACTGCTGATAAGCATCTATTGTGTTCTTGGATGCATTTGGTGGTGTTTTTCTGCTTTTATTTTGGCATGATTTTACTGTTTCAAGCAATGATATTGGCATGTATTGGAATTACATCAAGGATACTGTTTGCGATAGCCAGATGATGTTTGGTCAATACTTTCGTTGCAGGTATGCATACCCTGCATCATTCGGCTATCTGGCATTGAAAGGCACCATTATTCCTTCTCACTGTCGGTACCAATCGTAGGTTCTGACAAGGAGGCAATTGATGATGATATCGATAGAAACATTTGCTGCCTATGTTTAGGTATTTTGCAGTTCAGTTATATTGATGAAAAAGGTAACTTCTGACAAGGAGGCAATTGATGATGATATTGATAGAAACATTTGCTGCCTATGTTTAGGTATTTTGCAGTTCAGTTATATTGATGACAAAGGTAACTTCGTAAAATGTAAGGGAGTTGATGATTTAGCTGTCTCGATTTCCGAGATGGTAAAGAAAGAAGGCCATCAGATTGATAGTTTTTCTCTTGAGGTGTCAATTCCTTCAATCATTCTGGAGAATGAGAAGCTTGTTTGGTAAGAGCACCCCCCCCCCCCCCCCCCCCCCCCCCCCCCCCCCCCCCCCCCCCCCCCCCCCCCCCCCCCCCCCCCCCCCCCCCCCCCCCCCCCCCCCCCCCCCCCCCCCCC